GATATGGAGAAGGAGAAGGAGAAGATGTGGGGAAGGAGGAGGAGGAGGAGGAGGAGGAGAGATATGGGCACCATCTCACATCCAGCAGAAGGGCCACCAGCCAACCTAGCCGAAGACCTGGGAGAACAGCCAGGTTTTTAAGGCCCTTCTGAACACCAACAGGGTGGGAGCCACCCAGATCTCGGGGGGGGGGGGCTCATTCCAGAGGCCATGGCATTTTAAATCATGCCACCCTCATACAATAACCAAGAACCCCACTTCTGGCTGGATATGAGCAAAATAATTCGTACTTTAAAGCAATCTTGGAAATAATATTATGTCCTTTAGGCTCGTGGCAAAGAGGTTCAGTAAAGGAATGGCTGGTGGGGGCTGGTGCCCTGGGCAAAAGCATTCCACCTTGTGAAAAACCCCATTTGCTATTGCTGCTGTTTGCTCACTTACACCCCATCTCTTCATAGCAATCTATCCGAATGAGTTCAGAACACAATCAAAGCAAGCAGGATCAAACAGCAGTTTATATTTTATCCTGTGAAATTGCATTGTGTCAGTTTAGAACTGCCCCCCCCCTTTTTTTTTGGCTGCTTTGATGCAGGTAAACATTTTGAAAATGCGAAATTGTGTTTTTATCTTTTCGTGGTCTTTTATTATGACCTGGATCCTTTCTCCTGCTCTGCCTTCATTTCCTTACGTTGGCCCGACTGCTTTGGCCAGACTCTAATCCCCCAGACCCCCATTAATTTCTTTTTATTTTTATTTTATACCCCGAGTTTCCTCGGGGCAATGTATAACGCACTCTCTCCTCCAATTTTTCTCCACCACAATAATCCAGCGGGTTATGTTGGAGTGAGAATGACTGATCCAAAGTCCCCCAGTGAGTTTCCATTAGCTGCCTACTCCTATTTTTTTGGAAAGATAATCTAATGAACCAAAGAAGCAATCCTATTCTACAACTTATAGGCTGCTTACACGTTTTTAGGCTGAAGTGGCCTACACATTTTATAAAATAAACTAACAGCAATAATAATAAAGCAGCTATTCATTTCAGGAACTCAACTGCGTACCACCAACATCTCGGATCTGTCATGAGCTAGACCAGCCCACCCCCCAACTTGGCATCCACAGGGGCGCTGGGCCATGCCACCAATCACCCCGATTGACAAGAAGGTTGCCTTCCTAGCTGGGGATTGTGGGAGTTGAGGTCCAATGCATCTGGAAGGTGTAAGTTTGGAGGAAGTTGTGATAGATGGGGAGAACTGCTAAAGACAGCCCACCGTGAATTGTCCTTATAGTACGTGAGTTGGTTGAGTACACCTAGGCAATTCTTCTTCACACGCTCAGTAACAACAAGAAGAATCCTATGCGGAGCTTCTCTGGGCAGCTGGGATGGCAATCTTCATGTTCCTTAAACTCAAACCTTCAGGCGTCTTCTCTTCCCGCTCATGCTATTGAACCTGAAGGCCAATCATATGAGATCCAGGCCCTGCAGGACACCCGTTTCTTTGGAAATCAGATTACCCACTTAAAAGAGGGGAGGAGGCAGGGAGAAAGAAGCAACGTGGACTCCTCCAATGGAAGCGAAGGGAACTTTTTGGTCTCTCGACCTGCCAACACCTCTTGAGGGCTTTTTTTTTTTTTTAATTTGGATAGCAAATAACAGTGCAAAACCACTGTTGCTTGTTTATAAATCAAACGTATAAGGCTGCCCAACTCAAGACAATGAAGCTAGCTATAGATTCCCTGCCTTCCTGCTAGACGAGGTGGAGAAAAGTGTACTGTTCTTGTCCTTCACATTATGACTGCAGCAGACAATGTAATTGTGCAGGGCGGAAAAAAGCCGCAGCTATGTACTACCCCAAACAAACAAAAGAACACAACTTTAGTAGTTCAACCTTATCTTTGTTGAAGGCAACCACCTTGCATTTTCTCATTCTGTTCTTTCTGGAGACCTAACTGTGTTTTCCCTTCTACTAAAAGCCCACCGGAAACCCGTGTGGACCTATCCAATGATCAATGGTGGGGCAGGTGTGCAGGAACTGAAATGCAGTCACCAAAAAATGCTCCTCCGTACTTTCCACAACCAGGATGGCAACCGAGCCCAAAACTATGACTGCCAGCAAGGGCGCCTACGTGCAAAAAAATTAGGGTTTGTTGAGTCATCTGGCTCTCCAAGATGCCGCTCTGTTTCCTCACAGGATCAGGTTTGGGCTCCCTGCTTCTCACCATCCATCAAACTGGCCTTGTTCTAAATCAGCAGCCTGAAAAGGTTGGTCTGTTTACGTTCCCTTCACCCAAACCCCATTATCAAACCTCTGAGCTTTTCTGCCCCCATGCCACGGGACTCTGCTTTTTAAAAGGCGAGAAGAGCTTCACACACCAGCTCAACGATTGTTCTGCCCAGTGTAATGGAAGATGGAAAGAGGGGAGGCCCTGGAGGATTCATTTTAGCACTTCTATTTGCCCTTGAAGTCCTTAGCAATTAAAAAAAACCTTACCTTGTTGCCAAGGTCGAAAAGATAGCAATCTTCTTCACGTACATTTGCTTCTGAGTCAGAAATCAGCTCTCCAACGTATCTGGAAGAACAGCACCAAAAAAAGTTTGTGTACACGGAGGACTAAGTACATGATTTTTAATCAGAAAGTAGGATGTAAAGCAGGGTCTCCCAATTTTAGCAACTTCTAGATGCATGGACTTCAATTCCCAAAATTCTCATGCTGGCTGGGGAATTCAGGGAGCTAAAGTCCGCCCATCTGGAAGCTCCTATGATTGGGAAATGCAGAGAGACTACTTGGAGCTTTTCAGGTTTTGAAGTTCATGTCCCATCAGCCACAGAGAGAATGACCAAGAGCAAAGATCTGTGGGAGTTATGGTCCAAAGCACCTCAAAGGGAGACTTTAAGAAGTCTCTGAGGAGCCCATCAAGAGGACACAGGGCTACGAACCCATCATGATGGTACTATTTGATGGAAGCTGCCTCCGCTTAAGCTGGACCACTGAGTCCACTCACTTGATATTCGAATTCTCAGTATCCTTCCATGATCTTATCCAGACCTGCTAGACACAATCCTTGTAAACCTTGCATGCATAACTCCTGGTTGACCTTGACATCAAGCCAGCATGAATCCAGCACGAACAGCAGCCATCCTTTGTGACTCCCCTCTAGTTGCCTTCCCTGAGCCGCTGTGAGGGCTCAGCAATTCAGGCAGGCATATGGGTGGTTTCCTATGGGAAGCATCTGCCACGGCTCAAGCCTCAGAACATCTAATGATACTTCAAGACTGCACTGCTCAGAGCAAACCAATCTCACACAGGGATATAACTACAAGGGAAATAGGGCTAGGGGCGACCAGCAAAGGGCTTTAAAACAGCAGCATCCTGACTGCCAAATCCTCACTCGAGAGCTGCATGCTTGGCACACGCACAGTGTTTTTTTCAGTGCCAGCTGATCTTCTCAAAGAACCCAAATCATTTTTAGTGTGTGGAACAGCCTTTGCTCCCGTTGGGCTTGCGCACTTTGTTTAAAAATTTAAGGGCAAACACACCATTTTGTAGTTTTACCACAAACCAGCCGGAGAACAGGATAAAAATAATGCAAAACTAACAAGAATACCCTCCAGAATTCCCCTGTACCCTCGGCTGGGATGATGTCATCTGACTTGGTTGTCCTCTGGCATTTGGACAATGGAGGAATCCAGAAGGAAAAACTCTACATAGCTACCTTCAAACAAGAGACGAGTATCTTGGCAGCTTTGAAGATCAAGTAAAAAGCATTCCTCACTGAACAGTTAACTGCTTGACCCATCACTGTGGCCTCAGAAGCGTCTTGATGAAGCTGGTCGCTGCCCAATCAACTAAGAGTCAACCTTCAGGTTTTTATCTTGCAATTGAAACTTCAGATTCCCTGGACTGCATCTTGGAAGGAGCTGCAACTGCCCTTGGCCAAAAGCAGCTGACGTCTTCCTGAATGTTGCTTTGGGGGATTAGCTTTTCCAGGCAGTTGGTGAGTGGCAAAACACACAGTGGGACTTTCACGGGACAAGGAGCTTTATTTCTCTTTCCCCCAATTGAACTTGTGTCATCAGCCAGTTCCCACGTGACCTGAGCCTCGCAACAGGACGAGCAAGCTACCTATCATGGAGGGCTTCAGATAAAGCACTGCAGTGAAGAACTGAAGCAGAGACTGTTTTTCATCAACTTGATTAACCTACAACTCCACTTAAAGAGGTCCACGGGGGGCAGGAGGGGATGCACTGCTGCCAAGAAGGCTTTCTGACTCTAATTCCTAATCTTTCTCTTTCACAAGAGCCTCTGATACCCTCAAACATTCCTCCCTTTTGAGAGGGAACAGTAGGAAAACCTTGGCGGATCCAACCAAAGCAACTCTGAGCTGACCCCAGCGGCCTCTCAGAGGTTCTCCAAATTGTATTTTTACTATATTTTTATACTGTTTTTATTGTATTTTAATTCATATTTATTTGTTGTTTTATTGTGAACCACCCAGAGTCACTTCATCGTGAGACGGGCGGTAATCTTGAATGAATGAGTGAATGAATGAATGAAGCCACGAAGAACAAGCAGAGGGCCAAAGCTTTCCCCCATGGGGGAAATGGAGCCATGGAGGTTCCACCTCGAGCCATGAAGGTTATTAGCTATTGAGGGACCCTTTTCCACACATCTGCCCAAGACCTTTTTAAGCCAGTGCACCATCACCACCTCCTGAATGAAACCATCAAAATTACCCCATCTTACTGCCAAGCTAGGGTCAGACTATCCTTTCCAGAGGTCTAAATTGTTTACACACAGAAAGCTTTGAAATCTGGCTGAAAACTGTTCAGGCAGCTGACCCCAAGCTGTCTGGGTGAAACCCAAGGAAGGTAGCCAAGAGGCATCAATCTATACACTGCTTGGCTCGAGACTCGTACGTTTTGGGAAATGAGCCATCGAGGGGACAAATCTGGAAGAGTCAGGGAGAGCTTGTGGGTTGTACATGGTTAAGACAGCTTGTTCTCCTAAGAAAGCCTGAATAGAGGGAGAAATCTGCCCTCCAACATCACCTCCTTGCTCTCTCTCATCCATGGTTTCAAAGAGAAAGCACTCACTCGCACACAAAGGTTCCCAGCGGAATGTCTTGCATCGTCCTCACGCCCCAGCCCATCTTCCTCGTCCGGAAAAGTTGTAACCTCGCCCTGGAAGAGAGCACAGAGTTAGCCCCATGAGGTTCTGTGATACCAGTGGGTGTTAACTCTGGTCACAGAAATGGTCAGTTTGATTTCTACGTATGGGGTTTCCAGCCAAAGGAAAGTGGGATAATGTATAAAAGAACCAGTTCCACGGCTCTTCTTGGCCACGTTCTACAGGACTCATTTCAAGCCAGATGATGCCCTCAGCCAAATCTCTGTGGGGAGTTTTGGAGACCAGAATTGGAGTGAGATGCTAAGACTGATTCCAAACCTTGACTTGACGTGGCCCCTCCGTGTCCTTTCCTCAGCTGACTCAAAGCTTCTGCCTGGCTTTGCAAACACTTGCAGTGAATCAAGAAAGGGCCGTGGGCTTTTGTTCACAATTTCAAAATCTGCTGTTACAATGTGATTCGTTTCCCGTCCCCCCATTCAGCCAAAACCAGTATTGGCTACATGGATCTACTGCGTGTGTGCGCGCACGTGCACAACCATGTGCACGTGCAAATCCAAGTACTAAGGTTTATAGCCAAAACGGAGCTACTGAAAAACCAAAGGAAGGGATTAAAAGGCTTTAGGGCACCTTGTGGCTTACAGAAGTGGTGCATCCACACAGACACACTTGCATAAACGTTGATCTGACATTGATCCCGGCTCCTCATCTATTCTCATAACTAGGTCTGCGCAGCTGTTTGGATTTGAAAGAAAAGAGTTGCTTTGAAGTGCGTGGAGACCTACACATGGCCGCTGCCTACAACTTCTTAACTCTAATGGGTCTTTTCCTGGGATTGTGCAGACCTAAAGCGCGTTTTCATCTTCAAAGTAGAAGTCACGTCCCCACCCTAATACTGGCCTACCAAGCTGCACGTGCTGCCTAAGGAACACCCTAACTTCTCACCGGAGGCCGTTTTGCACCACCCGATTCCGGCAGGTCCTCCAACAGGAACAGGCATGGTTGCACTCGAAGATTAGCGGTGGCTCAGCTGTGTTGAATTCTGGCAGGAGCCGTCCATCCTGCACAGGAGAAAGGGGAGGTTTTAGTTGTACATCTGTTGGCAAGGAGAGTTGCATTCTGTCCCCAACAGAAGGGAATTCTCAGTTTGGGCCCTGCACTGATGAAGCCCTTTGCCCCTTCATCTCAAGGCCAAATATAGTCGGACTTCAACTTCATGGACCCCCTTTAGTAGGCTTCAGATGCAATGGCCCTGATTCCTCCCTGGACATCCCCCCTCCCCAAGTCCATCGCCCCCAAAGTAGACTAAACAAAGCGGTTACATTGATGTATTCGCAGAGATTCACATCATTTGTGCGAAGATGTCCTTACGCAAATGATTCAAATTACGTGCCGTGCAGCGATTTACATCATTCGCCAAATAACGTAAATTGTGGCAGAGGATCAATTTGCGATTCTGCAGATGCTCAGGAGTGAGGGGCCCGTCCTCCCCCCAGTTGATCCATCAGATCAGGGCTCCACAGCACAAACGTTTCAGGTAAAATAAAAACCAAAGGTAAAACTCAGCTCCTTCTCTCTTCTTGCTTTCTCACAACTCAACTGCCTGAATGCTTGCCCGCAAATCTTCTCCAAGATTCGGTCTCCAGGACAACAAACTGAACTTAGCCCTATTTAACCCTGTGTTCTGTACTCCACTTACTGCCACCCAGACAGGAGCTCCAGGGCACCTGGGCTGGAAGATCAGGGGAGAGAAATCATGCAACCCCTTCCCCGTCGCCCCCAAAACTCCCCAGATGAAATCCTCACCCGGTCATACCAGCAGCGCATACTAAGCTGTCCACACATGCATTTACTGGAGGAACAGTCATCTATGCACACACAGTACTGTAAGCAAAGAAACAAGAACCAGAGTCACTGGAGTGCGTTCAACAAGGATGCTGTTATGAGGCTCTGCAATTCGGATACAGGGGCCACGCTAACCCAAAGGCAAATGACACGGCCTTTGGGCCACAAAGTTCTAATTCAAGTGGCCAGGGCTGAAATAACAACGATGATGAAGGGCATTTATTCTGGATAAGATTTGTGTCCCTATCCTCGGAAGGGATGGGAGATTGCACACATCCTTCATCAAGAACGTGATGCAGAGGTTGAGTCAATCACTCATGTTCTTCTGAGATGACTCCTGGGCAACCTGCTTACTCACCCGGCTTATGCGTAAATGCTCAAGGTAGCCATAATCAGATACCTTGCTTTTCCTACTAAGCGACATGTAGACAAAAACTCAATGGAAGTCGCAAAGTTTTGTGCCAGAGCAACCACTATTAGAGAAGATGGGTCTGACAAGGTCTACCATTCCCACAGTGGATTATGAAGCTCTATAAGCCATTATTGCTTGTTATTACTATCATTAATAATACCATCATTTTACTTTTTTCCTCTTTTTATAGTTGCTTTTTAGAAGACTACTACCTGCTTTATCTAATTTCTGATGGCCCGCCATTTTTCAAATGCCTTTATTCGCTTTAACACATTCATCTGGCGTGTTCCCATCATGTCCTCCTTGGCGCGACTCTTCCCTACAGATTTTTGTTTCTTGAAAGGGGCCTCCAGATCCTAACTGCTGCCTTTCTCAGGTTTAAAGCAAGAAACTATGCTCTAGGGCAGGCCCCACAGAAGGAAAGCAAATCCTTTCAAAGGATTTGAGCATTCAGAGTGGTGTCCTGGCATCGCTCCTTATTCAGGAGATTCAAATCCTGCAAGCAAGACAATTCCGAATCAGGGGACCAACCACAAGGAAGGGACTGTGGCTCTCCCCTGTTTTGCTTGACTCCAGCTCCCATCAGACTCAACTGTCAAGGATGATGGAAGCTGTGGCCCAGGGACATCCATCAGGCCTGTAGCCCAGCGATGGAGGAAGGGAGCACGGAGGGTGTTAATTTCTATCATGACTGCTGGGAGGAGAAAGAAACAGAGGAAACATAGCTGGCCATCTCCCATCAGCTGTACTTGTGCACGCAGCTCTAGTGAACGGGGAACTCCTACTGGCAAGGAGGAGGAGAGGAAGGGCACGTAGTACGGCAACCAGTCTGGCACCTGCAAATGAGTGATGTTCCTGTCCACGTTCATGGGGGATGTCACGCAGTTCTGGGAAATGTATTTGTAGTTGACAGGGCACGGCTCGCTGTCTACAGAATTGATGCACGGAATTGGGATTCGCTCATAACCCCGGGCGATGTCTCTGTCACAGCAGGGAGAAGAGAAAGAATGGCTTTAAAAGCAGGGAGCCGCGCAGGCCCATAGGTGAAACACGTACCGCCTTGTGTCTGGAGGCTCCCCTCTGGGCCGGCTTGCCGTATTCTAAAGTCAGAAAAGGCGGCTTCGGGCCGCTCAGTCCGGATCCCAAAATCAGCCCGTTATTGCCCCCAACTCCTTGTGGCAACTCCTCTCCCTCAACTGCTGTCTAGCAACAGCGATTCCCCCAAACCGCAGCCAAGGGAGAGAGAAGGGATGGTAAAAAAAACTCCCTTGGCTTTACTGAAAAGCAGATGAAACAGCAGCTGATGCCCGCCCCATCCTGGTTCACATTCAGCAGGTTGAGGCAAGGGGGCGGGACCCAAACATTTCAGGGCCGGCCTCCTACACCCCAAAGCAAATTGAGCAAGGCACAGGATCTCCTACGAAGGCAACGTTTTCAAAAACCAGGATCTAGAATGAGCTCGCTGCCTTTCGTCGGCAGGCCCCAGCTAGATGCTTGCAGGTCGTCAAAGCTTTGCTTCGCTTCCAGCCCACCCACCCGCCCCCATCAAATCGATCAGCCCAAAATATGACACAGGAGCTGTTGCTGAAAATCCAACGCTGGGATGACCCACGGAGGTTGCTGATGAGAGCAGGCGGCTCTGCTCTTTAAAGAGTTCAATGAATCAGAGGGACTCTGCCCAAGTGGGCCATGGATGCTCTTCAGCTGGGGGAGATTGGTAAAGAGCCTGCCTGCTCTGTTCTTTTTAAATTCCCCTTTCATGGGAGATTCCCACCTACCCTGGTTCGAGTGGAAAAGCTAGCGGCCCCGCACCCGTCTCCTAAGAGGGCGGGGGCTTCTCTCCAAAATTTGGGGGACGGGAGACAAGCGGGCAGCGCGCCTTTGTTGGCCTGAAACTCAAGGCAGGTTGTCACACCTGCTCAATATCTTCTCCACCTGGGTGGGTTTCTCTGGAGCGGATTCTTTCAGTGTCTTGTTCATCTGCAAAGTGACCCAGACTTGGGAGTTGAGACTCGAGCACTGCAGCGGCGTCTCGCCCTCCTTGTTTTTCAGGGCGACGTCCGAGCCGCGGGACAGAAACAGTCTGCAAGGAAAGGACCGAGTCACTGAGAGAGAAGCGACAGGGCTCAGCACCGTCCGGCTGGAGCTCACACCCTGCCTCTGAAGGAGCCCCAGGTCAGTCCTGGGAACTGGCACGGTGGAAAGGCCAGAGGAGCAAGCTTAGCCGGATCTTTCTTCTCACCCCAGCGAGGATCACTGCTGATTTAAGAAGCGGGACTGGGCCAAAGAAAGCCACAGGCTTCCTTTGCGGTCCGAAGAAGGGAGAAAAATCATCTCCTCTCCTTTTTCCTTTTTTTGGTGCCCAGCATGCTGGGAAGAAGAAAACAAGGGGGGGAGGAGGAGAACCCCCAGTTCTGTACTTACACGACACACTCATAGCGGTTCTCCCGGGCTGCAATGTGCAAAGGAGAATCTCCATGAATGTTCACCGCGTGCAAGTCGCATTTAGCAGCCAGGAGAATCTCGGCAATGTCGACGCACCCGGAGAAAGCAGCCCAGTGTAAACAAATATTCTGCTCCTGGAAAAGAGATATTGGAGGAGGTTGAAGGGAAGGGGCAATCCAGCCTGCCTGCCTGCCTGCCACTTGGGGGAACACCCCCTCTTCTTAAGATCTCCCCCCTCCCGAGTCTGTGGGCTGCCTTCTCTAGATGGTTCAGCTTCTTTCCAACAGGGAGATTCCCAAGCAACAGTCACCTCCAAGCTCCCTGAAAAGGGGGGAGGACCCGAGCCCTCCCCCGCTTTCCAAGGACTGCCCTCCCCCGCTTTCCAAGGACTGATGATTCATTTGTTTGCAAGCCACAGCACGCTCCGGGTGCCTCCACGGGGAAATGCCACAGACGCCGAGGGAAAGGTGTTGGAGCAGAGCAGCCGGATCGGAGGAGCGTAGGAAAGCCCTTGGAGATCTCTAGATGACACATCCCTCTAGGGCGGCCAGCGCAGACGGATTTGGAGGGCGGAAAGAAAGAAGCTGCAGAACGCGTGTGAGTGCGGCTCCCTGGCCAGAAGCTGCCGGCAGGCCGCCGTTAAACACTTTATTCTGCTCCTTCTCTTTCTCTCAAGCCCTGCAAGTTTACAAGGGCTGATCCGTTTGGCGGAGAAAAGATTTATTCTTGAGTCTAGGGATTCTGGGTGCTGGCTTCCTCTGAAGTTCAGCCTGGCCACCCCTCCAAGTCTTGAAAAGAAGGGGTGGTAGGAGAAAAATGTCCTTTTATAGAAGAGGAAACCAGCCACTCTTTTTTTCCCTGCCTTACTGCTAGACTGAGATCATGCATAACATCAAGAGAACCTTTCCTTCTCCTCATCTTCTCCCTTCTCTCAATTTTAAACTGATCCAGCACTGAAATGCAACAGCACAAAAGGAGTGCTGTCTCCTGCATGATCCCTCTGACAGCCTGGTTCTCTACATCTAAGCTGGGCTGTCACTAAAATGATTGGTTTCGGCCCCACCCAACTTACATTATCTCGGATGTTGATGTCAGAGCCTTTGGCCAACAGCAGCTTCACCAGCTCCACGTGTTTGTACTCCGTAGCCCATATCATTGGCGTCCAGCCTCCGTCATCCTGGGAACAATGGAATACCACTTAATCCGACCCCAAACTTTGAAGTCCCGTGGTTGGACAAGACCAAGGAAGCATGGGGTACACAGATTTCAGGATGGACCTTTAAAGCTAGTTTGGGGTAACAATCAATCTTGAAAAATTGGAAGTTCCCAGCCTTGTGGATAGCCAGTTCATTACAGCAGCCTCTTTGAATACTCTGAAGTGTTTCTTCCCAGATTTCTTTTCACGTGGGCTAAGTGGACATTTATGAGATAAGCTGCCAGCAGATTTGCCCTCGATTCCTCGATTATGTTTGCTCTCCCTTCCCTTCCTTGCCCAGCCTCCCCACAATCTCTCCCTATCTGTTTCCACAGAACCTACACCATTACTGGTCCCCAACCTCAAGCCTTCGTCCATATGGAAGTTCCAGGACAAAACTTGGAATACAAGCAAAGCATAGAAGGCCAAGGGCAGGCAGGGCTGATGCTCTGTCTTGATGTTTTTATGAAAATTTCTGAGGACCAATGAGAGGAGCAAGGCCGATGATCCCAATAAGGCCGGGCCTACCCTGGAAATGGAATATTATGGTATGGGGAAAATTACAAGGACTTTAGGAGGCTACGTGGACCCTGATGGCATTTTTAGGAAATCAAAAGGGTGGGTGACTGCCCACCAAGTCTTTGTTTAGAAGGACACTCATGGGCCAAGCAAAAAAGACCAAAGTAAGAGGCGTCCCTCTATCATTACCTTTCTGATAAATAGGTGCTTGGTGATGAGCTGTGCCACCCACAGCAACCGGTCTGCATACAGGCAGCCCCTTCCAAGCCCAATGTTTTCAGCCCTGCCCACTCTGTAAGGACTCAGCACCAATGGGGTGCTAGGGAGTTGAGGGCAAACCATGGTTGGCCCATTCCTGTCCTGCAACCACATCGGCCTATTTTCATCATGTGCAGATTCTGGTGGAAAGGCCTAGAGAAGGCCAGACAAACAAAAAAAAAAAAAAAAAGGAGAGGGGGAGAAATGTCCTTTCGGTGACTCACATAACAACCTGAACTGCCTTTGTTGCAAGGCAACTGTAAGCATAAGAGATGAGACGGCGCGTGGGCTTCATTAATTCTGGCTGGATCACAGAGCAGGGATAGCTAAGGCAAAGTCTTCTGGGCTGACTCCCATCAGCTCCCGAAAACTGGGCAATGGGAAAGGATTAGGAGGGCTAGAGCCCCAGCCACCTAGAGGGTACAAGGCTGTTCTACTGAGAGAGAAGCGTGCATCCAGACGTATCTGCAAATGCTTGTCCCACCCAGGAGGGAACTGACCCAGAAGGGAAGCAACTTACTTGACAGTTGACGTCCATTTGTTCATTGGATAGGAGGTACTGCACCACGTCGTAATGGCCCTTCTTGGCCGCCAGGTGCAAACAGGTGGATCCTTCAGCATCCTAAACCAAAACAGGGGGAGGTGTCAGCAGAGCCAGGAGGAGGATTAGGTGAGGAAAAATCATACTCCGTTGATGGTGTGACAAGGTGGGTCAACCACCACATCTGGTGGTCTACCAGGTTTTCGATAAGCCCTTCCCTGCCTGTCCTCCCAGTTCTGCAGCTTCCAAGTAGCCCCCTTGGCAGGCCGTTAATGAATAGCAGCCACAGGTTGGTGTTTCTGTGAGGTTAAGACAGCAGGCTAGAACTGGGAGACTGGGAGTTCTGCCTTAGACACGAAGCCAGCTGGGTGACCTCGGGCCGGTCATTCCCTCCTAGCCTTGGGAAGATGGTAAGGGCAAAGCCCTTCCGAAATCTTGCCAAGAAAACTGCATGAAGTTGTCCAGGCAATCGCCAGGAGTCAACACTGACTTGAAGGCACCCAAAAAATAAGGAAAAATCCTCCCTGCAAGGTTCCAGCCCATCTCTCTTCCTGCTACATTTTGTGCTAAGACTAAGTAGGGAACCTCACAGCTTTCTTGAGCTTTTGAGTGACGCGTCTGGGAGAAACAGGAGGCCATGTCAGGGAGCAGCGCAAAAAGGAAATCTGGTCCTTAAATTGAATTAAACACAGTTCATACGATTATTCCCCCAGCAATCTCCTCTGCTGTCAGATGAAAAAGTGCAACCTTTAGAAAGGCACCCCAAGCTTTGGGGGGCTGCATCCAGCCCTGGGGTTGTGCAATCCTGAAGGAAAGGGTCTCCCAAACCTGTCCTCCTGCCCCCAGAAGCATGAAGGGCTTCAAGTCCCTTCTCTCATCTCCCTCTGCAGCACCATCCTTGCCCCTGAGTCCAAGGGAGTCAAGGATTCACCCTAACTTGCAAGGAAAGGCACTTCCATCTTTTGGTAACGGGAGACCTCCATGGCTGTACTCTGTTATCCTTACTCAGCAGCAATTAAATCAGCCCACACAGGCTGCCTCTTTTGTAAAAGGCTGCTGCTCCTTCAAGGACGATTAACATACTACGAGGAAAAAAATAATACAGCCGAATAACCATTTAACCAGCCTCATTTGACATGCAACATGAATTAACCTCGGCCAAGATCAAGAAGTTGTGGTTTTGGTTTTGTCTGAAAGAAAAGTAACCTTTTCTTAATCGTTGATCGCTAATATTCTCTAATGGGCCAATCTGGTATTCAGGGATCTCAAGTATACTGTATGTGGCTTTTGGGCAAAGAAGATTCTTGGTTTTCAGCCAAGGATTTTGAGCAGGTAATTTTTTGGCTGGTAATCTATGGCTGGCCGAGTGATTTCATCACTGCTCTGCTAAGCAAAAGGAATGCTCTGTTTTTGTTTTCCTGTTTTGTTTTAACGTTAGCTTGCTTAGGAAGCTGTTAATGCCATTCCTGAGAGTCAAGGGACCGAAACCCAGGCTCCTGAGTGAATGGATCAAACGGCATTGCAAAGCCACCTCAAACGCATTGGCTTCATATCCAGACTCTCATCACATTCAACCTGTTTATCAGTTGGCAGGTAGCATTGCAAACCAATTTCCTGGCACCACCTCAGTTGTGAGACTGCCACGTGCAGGTTTTAGGAGTGCATATATTCCCCCTTGGGATGCGCTGAGATCTCATGATGGCCTGTCAATGCTGAATCTCAAAACCTTGGGATAAGAGGGAATACGCAGCTTATCCACATGGGGCTTCCTGTAGGGAGACTGAACTCCCCTTTGCTGGAGCATTTGAGAGTTATCTAGTGCTGAACTGCTGCATTAACAGCTGTGCAACAGCACTGTCTCCAACCCAACTGCTCTCAGATGGAGTTCCCGCTTGACGCTAAGCTGAAAAGTGTTTTGCTTGGCAGGTTATGCGAATGCACCATTCGTGGTTTGCAAACCAGGGTTCGCACCCATTGTGGTTCATCCAAGAAACCGAGTTTAAGGAAACAAACAAAGAGTTACCTTGGGGTCTACCAATGCTCCAGCCTTAATGAGGTATTTCACAGTTTCCAGATGGTTATTCTCTGCTGCTTCCATAAGGGGAGTCCTCTGGTCCTGAGAACAGGTGTCTATGTTAGCGCCAGCCTGTGCAGACGTACCATGCACACACAGAACACAAAGAAAGGACAAGAGTTAGTAAATTCATACTGCCAGCAGGCTGACAACTGAGTTGCTAAACAGCCCACCTGACATACCGATCGGGTTCATACATCACACTAAACCATAATGAGATTGGCTAGTTCGTAGCTTAGTGATGTTGTGCAGACCCTGCCACTTACTCTACAAAACATGACTTATATACAGCTGATGTTCCTGATGGGTTCCGGAGCTGCGCAGAACCCATAAAGACATTGCTGTTGTTGAATTGCTGTTTCTCTCGCTTTTCTTTTGCTTTTCTTCTAAGAGCACAAGATGACGCACACGGTTCTCTGACTTGCCCCAACCGTTTCCTCACAACAGGCCTCTCAAGCGGGTCAAGCAGAGGAAGAAGGATGATCCAGGTCATCCTTAGGGAGCTTAGGCTGGGGATGAGAAGGCGGCTCTCCATGGTCCTGATCTGGTACTCAAACCACTATACCAGGCTGGCTAGAATGAACAAAACTCACTCTTTCAATGGACAGCCAAATTGCCCGCTTCCATGCAGAAAATCCAGAACAATCTACTTGATTCTACCCCAGGCACTGCCCTGAATCCAGTAGGCAAGAATGATGGGTCTAGACAAAGCATCCTGTTTCCTATATAGTTACAGGAATCTCCAGTCCAAATGGTTCATTACTACCACACCAGAGGCTTGGAACCTGCAATGTGTTCATCATGCCTTAGAACAAACACAGCATCTGTTTAATGAAAGACACAGGCACTCAATACCCCCGCAGGTTGATTAGGCTCTCTAGGAAAACTGCTCAAGAAGGGAGCTGCAACTCTTCCCCCACCCCGCCAACAATTTTTTGAATAAAGGATGAACCTGAAGCAGCATGTGGCAAATGTCCACATGTCCCGACTCGGCCGCTGCATGAAGAGGTGTTCTTTTACTCTGGTGCTCCATTTTGAAGTTGGGGTCGATCCCGTCCACTGGGCAAAAAGGGGGAAATGAAACAAAACAAAACCAGGTTTCCTTTAGTTACGGAGAGGTAAGTATTAGAGGAGACAGAGAAGTGCGGGAAGTCGTACGTGGGTCCCCGGGATGCTGTTGAATTTCAACTTCAAGCAGCCCCACCATGACGGTCAACGATGAAGGAAGCTGGGAGTTGAGGGTTGGTAGCCAGTGGGGAGGGGGACACCCGCTGCTCCAGGAAATGCTCAGAGCAGGCCTCCTGAGTCTTAGCACTGCCATGAGATTAGACCCAACGCCGTCCAAGGCTGATGAGAGCCCTTGTCATAGCCCTTTTCTCTCTCTAATCAGCCTGAGTTCAGAGCCTCAGCAAGGCAAAAGGAGAACAGAACCACAAAAAGAATCCACAGGAAATGTCCACAGCAGCAGCGGCACAGAGCAAGAAACTTTCTTCAAACCTGGAACTCACCAGTGGGAAACCAGCACTGCTTGGCATCCTCATTTACTACTGCTTCTCGGTCCCCCACTATTACCACCCTGAGTTTCAGCATAAGGAACATTCACTTGAGAAGGGAGGAAGAGAATCCAAGGTCACACTCTTGGATTCTCTTCCCCACCTCCTTTTGGAGAACTCTTGCTCTCCTGTGAGACGGGGAAGAGTTTCAATTAAGCTTGATTGGCGCTCATTTCAGCTAGTCCTTGGCTCATATGTTCTTTTACAAAGTATCTTCCCTCCCTTTGCATGGTCCAGCATTCCTCGATCTGGAAGCTGGGAGTGCAACTTCCACTGGCACAACCATAGGCTGGGCTGGATGACGATTACGAGGGTCGTAACGCCACACATTCAGAGGAAACTACATTGGATACAACCGCACTACAGCATCAAACCAGCCTAAAGGTCCCATCCATTAAATCAAGAATCTCTACTAATTGAAAGGTGTGTTGCTAAATGTGGGGGGAGGAATCTTACTTACCCAGCATAAGGAGGACTTTCTGAAGCTCCCCCTGCCTGGCTGAGAAGTACAGCTGCTTCGAGTGAAACCGTAATTTCTTGGGTCTGTGAAAGGCGGAGGAAGAGTTATTCCAAGTGGGTACTGGTGCGGAGCCCTTTCTGTTTTCTCTCTTGCTTTATTAATAGCACAAAAGAGTGTCAACTCTTCACCGACTTCTTGCATAGAACCAGAAACGCCTTTCTGGATTCTGCCTGCTCTGGAATAGCTTGCTCACCCTTGGAAAGCACAGAAAGGCTAGGTGCCCAAGGCACCGCGTCGCCAATCAATTCTACCCTGGGCAGAGGGCTCTGAAATTTGCAAAAAGCTTGCATTCCTCCTTCTGTGACTTTTCCCACTTTCAGGCTCCAAAGGCTAGCCCTTTCAGGTTGCCAGGCCCAAGGACAGCTGAGTGGTAGCAGGAGCCCTACGGATATGGGGCTTGCCAGGGTGGGGGACCTGAAAGATTGAACAGGCTCTGTGGGAACAAAGCGTAGGGTGAGAGAGAAGAAAAGGAGGCCACAGAGATGGAGAACAAAGTCTTGTGAAGGATCTGCAGCATGTATCTTTCCTCCCCACTCACTGCTTGGAAAGAAGCTTCTGGTTTTGACATTGTCCCTCTCCTTCCCCAAAAGAAAACAAATGAAACATGGGGAAAACACTCTCATTTCTCCTGAGCACCAGAAAAGCCCTCCTTTCTCTTTCTTATTTTATACATCGTATCTTCTTTATCGGCAAGAACATCAATCTAGTTTCCCCGCTCTGCTGAAACTTCCTTGTTTTGTAGCTAACTGCCACTTTCTGCTATTTTTGACAGAGCCATCCCGTTTTATTGCTTAAATATACTGGGCCTTTTGCACTGGAAGTGAGGAGCAAACGGATGGAAGCCAAGCCACAGAATTGAAATACAAGAAACGGAAGAGGAGAACGACTCCATGGTCCTCCCCGCCCAAAGAACTTCACCTTGATTCCCACCAAGAGAACATCAGTGTTTGGTTAGCTTAGCTGGATTTGATAAACTTAATCAGGGCAGTCTGGAGAATGAGCCAGGACAGGGGATTCTGACCTTCTGCGATGCCACTAGAACCAGAGTAATGGTCCTGACCACCGACTAAGTTGCTCTTACTTTTCTGAATCCAGGGCAATCAAGGCGCTCTCCAACGTTTCTTTAACAGGCCCTTGGGATAAACCAGTCGGGGCTGGCTTAGGAAATGTAGATGTCCCAGCCAAATCAAACACCTCGGTGGACAAGCTCTCAGACCTGCCTTCTTCAGGTTGCTGGGTTCCAGGCCCACTGAAACTGAACCCAAGAGAACAAAATCCCACAGTCAAGCCACGCACATCTTTTCGCACAAGCCAGAAAAAGGGACGTCTTTCCAAAGGAGGGGGAATAAACGCGTCCTCATGGAGCACAAGAAATTAATTTTGAGACCTAGCTAACCGATCTACCCCAACTCTTGCTTTAGAGATGCAACCGTCATGCAGAGAGGAGCAGCGGCAAGAACTTGGCCGGGCTGCTTCATTTCAAATGGCAGGGATGGGAGACACAGGCCGCTATCTCGCCACCTCTCCTCCCCGTTCAAAAGCACCGTGCAGCAGAAATTGACGATGTTTGCGGAAAGGTTTGAAGCTAACCCTTTGCACTAACTTGCCAAGTCTTGTATGCAGCTGATGGCTGTTGCTTTTACCCACAGCCTCCAAATGAAGGGCTGTGGTCCCTGTGGACAGACCCAACAGCAGGTCGGTCCCTAAACTCTTGGTTCGATTCTTGTTCCAGTTTATGCTTCAGTGAGGACAAGCCATCACCAAGAACAGGAGTCCAATACGACTTTTCAGAAAGAAGTGAAACTCCCCTTACTTGAACCTCATATCCCGTGGAAGCGAAGCTGCACTTCCTGGGGTCCAACCACCCTCTGCATGGTCAAAAACCCTTGAGGGCACTCCAGAGACCCTCTCAGAAAACTCCTCCTTAGAACCCATCTCTTAAGGAGCCCATGCCACAAAACACTGTTTAGCAGGTTCCCAAGCGTTAAAAAATTTCATGGAGACCTAGAAAGTACAGGTAGTCCTTGCTCAACAACCCTAATTGGGACCGGCAATCTGCCGCTAAGCGAAGCAGTCTCTAAATGGGAAATCATGTGACCCTGACTGTGCTTTATGGTTAGAAAGAGACAAGACAACTCAGTTTGCCTCCTAACCGCTCCCTCGCCCTTTGGGATGCTCAAGTGTCTGCTATCTTGTACACACTGAAAGCAATAAGATCACGCCAGCAGCCTGGGGCTGAGAGCCATGGACGGGCTACGCAAATAGCTTACTCTCTTGAAATCCCTTCCTCTCCAATCTCTCAGCTCTGTGAGGAGGTGGGGAGGAGGAAAAAAGCAATTTCTGTAGACAATCTCTCCCACTACCAGTGAGATTGTACTGCTTTCGATGTGTGGAAGAGCAAACAGCTTACTTTCTTGCAACCCCTTTCTCTCCAATCAATCTGCTGTACAAGGGGGGAAAGACATAAAAAAACCACAGGTCAGGCACAGGACAAGGCACACTGACTGTAATCATGATCATATGACTGAGGGATGCTGTGAAGGTCATAAATGGGCCGCAAAGTTATTTTTTCAGTACCGTCGTAACTTTGAACAGTCACTGAATGAATGGTCGATAAGCAAGGACTATCTGTACTGTCAGAACTGGCTTCAGCTATTTGGGGCAGGGAGGGGATGAGCATGGCCATGGCTTTGTCAAACAGGACCTAACTCCTCCTTTCCCCAATTTATACCAGTGCCCAGGAAGAAACAGTCATGCAAATGAAGAAGGCTGCCCCATCTTCTTCTTCTTGTTCTCCTGTCATGTACAAAGGAGGCAAGCAAGCAGGGACCCCAAAGCTAAGCCTTGTTAGCGGAGAGAACTTCTCCAGACACCACCTGCTGGGGCTTACCTTCCAGTGGTCGTGTCAGCCTTTCCTTCTAAAGCACCTGGTTTCTTCTGCTCGAAGGTCAGCAGGAGGGTGGAGGTGGTGTCCGCCTTGGCCACCGTTACTTCTTTCGCCTTGGAGGCCTCCTCCCCACAATGGGGACAGTAGCTCATGCCTTTGACATGGGAAGTGCAGTCCTTGTGGAACCGGTGAGAGATGCTGCTTTCTGGCTGGCACTCCATGAAAGTGCCCTGCAAGGAGATGCAAAGGGCAAAACATGCAGAGGCTAGAGAGCATCTCACAGGGTTTACCTTGGGGAAGTGAAAATGGGTGTGGATCTCAAACAGGTGGGGGGGAGGGAGAAAGAGAGGAAGATGGAGGACTGGCAAGAAACGGGGAACTTTAACTCACTCATTCCTGCACCAAGAAAACTATCTAGATTGTTAGAAAGGATCTTCTAGATCACTTGTTCAGCTCCTCACACCATGAAGGATCTGCAATGTGGGAGGCAGCTACAGTCATTCCAACAGATGGCAATCCAGATTCTGCTTAATCACCACCAGCAAGGGGGAGCCCAAAACTTCCCAAGGACACCAGTTCTCTGCCTTAGATTTGTCAAACTTTGGATGTTTTATCCTAGCTCTGCTGTTGTCTTCTTGCATTTCTAAGCAATCGAGACTTGGCACCCAGAGCTCAGAAACTTCATCTCAATGCACTGGCGCCAGCAGGTTGGCCTTCACCCCCCAAATGGAGAAAAGCACTTTAGAATGCCCCCAAACAAATGCACCTTGTAAAACTCCTGGCCTAGAAAAAACTACATCTAGACTTAGCAATGAGTCAAGTGCTCTGATATTTTTTTTTAAAAGTCCACAGGTAACACTGAAGAAGCCTCTGAAATGTATTGTCGAAGGCTTTCATGGCCGGAATACGATGGCTGGTGTGGGTCTTCCAGGCT